ATTCCAATATATAATAAAAAGCATAACCATTACGATCAATAAAATACTCATTGCCGTTGATTGGGTGTAATAAAGCTTTGTTCCGCTCAGCAAACATTGTTCCAAGAAGTGTATTGGGATATGATGTCAAAGTGGAACGATATGTTTCGTACTACATACAAATTCACATTATATACTTAATTAATAGAAAGATGATTTTTATATAGCTGATAGATAAATTCTTTACCCTAATGCCGCCAACATTTAAAACAATCTGCTCTAGTGTTTCACCGTTACGATTGTTTGTGTTTTGGTTATCTTTCATTTTAAAGAAATTATTTCGTTGCGTGCAAAAAGGAATTTTTTAATTCAATCAGTTGATGATTAATAAATAAATTATTTAAATAATTTTGATTATAAGTTTTCAGTTATTAGCAGGTGAATAAAAATATACGAGGAAGGGAGAACAATTATAATAATAAGTGTATCTTGGACTGTATGCACTTTAACGGATTGACAACACATGTGATTATATCACAGTTATTTTAGACGCGATAGCGAAAAATTACTATATCGGGATATATAACCATGTTAGAGTTTGGAGCCGGTTTTATTTTCATATGCTAAAACCGATTAAAACTGGGTTAACATATGAGGGAAAACCTGTCATCGGACTTTCAATTATATTTTGTGTACAGTTAGCCCCTATCGCTATGGAAAATCTATCATAATAATGAAAGTCCGATGACAGGTTTTTCCTTTATGGAAATACGTGACACTACATTATTTAAGTAATACAAGGTAACTTTGAATTAATGATATGACCCGGTTAGACAATAATCGAGTAACCGAACCGAACCGAAAAAATCGGGTGATCCGGTTAAGCAAAAGCTTAACCGGTTAACCCGGTTATTCAGTTGACCCGATATAATCGGTTGGAAACATAAATATTGCATAAAAAATGTAAAAGAAAATTTTTTAAATTTAATAAATTTTGTATAAAATTGTTTATTGCGAATTGGCATGTCATTTATGAGTATTGTCTATTTTAATGCAATATTTAAGCAAAAATGATTATAACTAGCACTTCAT